AGAGCCAAGAGACTTCAGTCTTAGCACTGCATCATTGCAACTTTGACCTTCTTGCACACCAGAAAAATTCATCTTGTTTTTGCATTTCTGAGGGAAAGTGACTTTAAATAGTAACAAACACCCTCTCCCGTCTCAGCTTTACCATCTAATATAGTCTACAGGAGTTGAGCTCCACTGAAAGGATGCCTTCTCGATCTCTAATGCGAACATTGAACATGCTACTCAAAGCAACAGTTTGCCTCCCAATATGACATTTTTCAAAATGAAAATGTATTGTCTAATTAGACACCCACCAATACTGATGACATATTTCCCTACAAAAAAAGAAAAAGAAAAAGTTGTGCTTCAAGGAGAGCCTGATTTATGCCGCAATTTATTTCAATTTAATCTTTTAACATGAATATAGATTTTATGCTTAGCTCATAAATCAATCTTGATTCAGTCACTGTAATTCGCTCTGTTCCCGGTCAGCGAACATCAACCTGAATTAGCCAGTCTGCTCAGCCTCACCGCACAATTAGTTCTATCAAGAGTGAAAGCTTTAATCAATGGTTGGCTTGTCCTTCACTGAGCCCTGTGGCTACAGCCGCCGTGAACACGCATACAGGCAATAACACCACGCTTAAGCTTTGGATTACCAGGTCTGTGCAGTGTCACGGTGGAAACTTCTGATAAGACAAAAAAAAAAAATAAACCTATGCGGTGAGGGTGCAATGTGCTGCAACCAATGCTGGAAGTACACTCCTCTGGGTGTGACTATGTGTGTGCACGTGTAGCTGGCTCTGTCGCAGTGGTACCTGGGAGGCCCAAAGCAGTCTGTCTCATTGATTCAGTTGGGTTTAAATGTCACTCACAACAGAGTCTGGGCAGCCCTAGAGACCACAGCAAACTACAAGCAACAAAAGGAGGAGAAAATTACATTGGTGTTCCTCGAAAACAACTGTTCTCTCTGCTGTGACAAAGGCGGTGAGCAGAAAATGGCACGGCTTAATGATTCAATCAATTTAATGCGTTTCTTTTTACATTTTCAGAGTAGATTTGATTCTAAGTTTTCTCAGAAATGGTGCTGTTAATAGGAATTTTTACTGTTCCTTTGCCGTTAACAAACGCACTAAAAAGATTTTATAAAGAAAGGACTGCTTTGAAGTGAGTGTTTTCTTGAGACATTTTAATGGTTCACACAAGCCAACAGAGTTCTCTTTAAAAGACAGCCATATAAAATCCTCCCACTCAAATACATTCCTATGAGAATCAACATCACAGTGGACTGGGCCAATAGGCAATTTAGTAGTCTAATGTCATCTTTCATGCCGTTTAATTAACGGTCCCTTTTACCAGCCAGAAAACCACAGAATTTTCCCAAAATTTGTTTATATTTTATGACCAAGTAATTATAATTTCCCCCACCAAATTGTTAGTCATGGAATCCCTGATGTCGGCCCGCTGCAATTGGAGCACTTAGCCAAGCGCTAAATACCCTCAACGTATTTTTGCAGTGTTGAGCAATGTAACCAATCACAGACATATCTGTTGATTTCATAAACGCAATGGCCAATCAGAAACGTTTTGTCAGAATTCACTCACCACTGAAAGCGCCGCAGTTAAGTGCAGTTTGGCATGCTCGTGAATCATCTCATGACTAAGTGCAGACGCGCGATGTAAATAAGAGATTCAATGTGCAGTTTATAGAGAGCTTCATTGATTATAACGGAACTTTGTAAGATAGCGATGAACGAAGATGAGTGACGCTTTTTTAGTGATAAAGGGAGCGCGCTTTCTATGATATAATCCATTCAGAATTTGTATGAGACTTTCGTTTTTCGGACACATAGGCTACACCCTGCAAAGTTTCGGGAATGACATCCGCATAGTTATGCGTGATTCACTTTTGAAATAGCAGTGATTGGCAATGGACGGAACATAAAATATGTTGATTTAATTCTGGAACCGGTCCTGGCCAAACCTCCACAGACAGCACGCATCCCGAGCGAGATCTAATTCACGGACCAAAAGTGTGTGTAAACTTGATCGAGATCAGGACATATCAACCAGTAATTTCATTTCATTTCCAGTAACGGAAGGTAGAAAGTTCAGCAATGAATGGTATGAGATTTATAGTCCCACAACTGATCGCTTATTTTTTCCTCAAGTATCTCGTCTTTGGTAACAACGATTCAAAACGACATGGAAAACTTTAGTGAACATCAGAAAAGCAGCGTGCAGATTTCTGGTTAAAAATGAAAGGCCATCAACTGACAAGCGGGAAGCATCACCATTCAAGTCAGCAGGAAGAGCCAAAGCTAGTCCACAGTTTACTAAACGGTGGCAACCTCGTAGTTATTCTTGACTGTGTTATAGAGGTCTGCGCGGGACTATATTTTTAGTCCCGCTCCCGCAAGGTTATATTCCGCACCCACCCGCTCCCACTATATATTCACTCCGTTTGCCCGCTGTGAATAAGTTTCTTCCCGACCCGACCGTTCCCGCTAAATTTTGTTCTCGTTTCCAGAATCTCATTTAAATGTCCTCTACTGAAAGAAAGACAGATAGGCTAACAAATAAAAGTGTTGTCTTCACAAAATTGTATTTGTTATTTTATTCATCTTGTCAAGTCTTGAATTTATATGAATTATCTTAAGACACAATTTGCTTAACATTTTATAGAACACAGTAGACCTAGGAAAAAAGTGTCACAGAGAAAATTAAAATATGGACAAATTTTATTTATTTTTATTCTTCTTGTCAGGATACAATTCGTTTAACATTAACAACACAATAGGAAAAAGTGTTGCAGAGAGAAGAAAATAGCCTATTAGCTATTTTTATTAGTCTTGTCAAAATACTAAATTCGTTTGACATTTTTCTGTTAACACAGTAGGAAAAGTGTCGCAGAGAAAAATAAATACGACATCTGTCATTTAAAATTATAGGCCAAGCAAAATATAAACAAAACAGTTAAACGTCCTTTCAAGGACAGCACTTTGCTCCATTCTTATTCTGCTGTCACTCATCGACAACCTGCCTGTTCTGTCAGAGGGCCGTATATTTACCACCAGGCACCAGTACAACCTGCTCTGAGCATAGTTATGCACATGCTACGCACAGACCCCGCAAATAAAACGTGTTAAGCCGAAAGCATGCTTTTATTTAATATATATAATGTCGGCCATGTTGATCACCATTTGTACATTTCTCATACTACTAGCATATGGGTGATAAAGCTACACCAACACAGACATGTTCTATGCACAACACGTTAAGACAACATTGACACCTTTTACAAGTAATAATTAAAAGTGACATCTCATGATTGCTAAACTGCTTTATTACTACTACAGGTTAAACATAAACTTTCAGGCCTGTGATATCACAAACTGAAGTCATCCATGCATGCACCTACCTAAATAAATTTGATATAAAATATACTTTCTTTATAATATAAACACATTTAGACATTATCATAACCTTAAATAGGAAAGCAGCTCTGAATAGAGTTGAGTTGTAGGCTAAGATCTTGGATTATGCACACACAGATGCTAAATGGTACATCTTTATAAATAAATGCCAGGTTTATCTTCATCTGTCATGATTTTGTTCCCATGCAAGGGTTATTCCACTAGCACCCATGATGACAAAAAATGTGAATATTCTGTTTGGTGTGATAAACTTGTTTTTGTAAATTACTTATGCAGTCCTCTCAGATTCCTGTCATTGATTCAAGATCTGATTGTGACTCATTTCTAGAGATTAATTTAACTTTTGTCCAATTACCAGAAGTGTGTTAGTGTAATAAACCGTACGTCTAATGCACACGAACACTCAGCTTCACAGTTTTTGCATTTTTTCAGTCTGCAAATAAGAACCCCTCAGATTGTGTGCCCACTGATGCTCTTTAGACAGGCTCCAAGAAGGGTTATTATAGTTAAAGCTAAATTTAAACAAAGTATAAAAATATTTCCATTACTTACATAAAATAAACATCAAATGAAATTAAATAAAATACAAAAAAAGTTTTATTTCAGCTAGTTGCAAAGGTAACATTTCTCATTTTAATTGAGTTTAACTTGATGTACTAAAATAACTAAAACTACTAAAAATTATAAAAAAAGACAACAAAATCACTAAAATGTAACAAATTTAAATTAAAAAAGGATATTCGAATAATAACCGATTCAAAATATTAATAAAAACTATAATAGTATCGCAATGATACTAAAATAACACTGGCTCAAAGTAGTCACAGAATTACCTTTGGAAATAATGCAAAATCAACCATGGTAAAGAATGATTTTATAATTGCCTAACAAAGTCTGGTATTAGTTGTTCAAAGTACACACAAATATGGCAGAGAACAAGTAACTGTGAGCCTTTAAAATGTGTGCATGCCAAGATCCTCTATCTTGCAGTGTTTGTTAAATCATGTTAAATGTTGGCCCTTCTAAGAGTTCTACTGAAAAATATTCAACCAAGGAACCAATATAGGCTATATATAGTAATATAATATAGTCAAAACTATCAACTCATTAATGAGCAACTGTTTGGGAAAGATGTTAAGGTTGTTTAGTGTTGTACACTACAAATAATCTACTAGTTTAGGGTTTACTAGTAACATTATACAGTACTGTGTTAGGTAAATGTCACTCTCAATTATAAATTGTAAAATGTTTTGTAACAATTAGCCAAAACTGTTTAAATATGAAAACAGGCCTACCGTGGAGGAAAGAAACAGGCCGTGTCCCATGTTACCGCTGAGCAGTGTTGCCAAGTCCCAAATGGGCTACTTTAACACTGTTGCCGTGGATTGTTTTTCGTGTCTGCGGGTTTAAGCGACCCCAATAAGGTGATATTTAGTGGAATGTGAATTTTACTGGAGGGTCCCCGCCGAAAAACGTGTATTTTACCCCCCTCGAAACGCGATTGGGCGGGTTTTGTTGCGAGAACCTGGCAACCCTGCCGCTGAGCGTGTGATAGGCTGCTTAAAGAAAGAAGCTTCGCCTTGCGTTCAGAATCAGTGGTGCTGCTGGAGAGTACACTCACCGTCTGCTAGCTCCAGCCAAAACCGACCACGAACCCTTCTCCTTTTTTTTTAACATTTTATTTATTGCAACCGATCCTCTGATAAGCCTTTTCAAAACAAGATGTAACTCACCACCGAACATTTACATCCTCACTTGAATAAACCTACATGTTTTAAAGAGCCGGGATGAACATCACTGATGGAAGTTATTGTGGCGAATGTTTTAACTATGGTATGCCGATGTGATTGTTTATTTTGCCCTTTACCCTTGGCGATGGCTCCCTGATTTTGGGATTATCGGTAATTCCACGATTCTGCCAGGAATCATCAGCGATCGAAGAGGGAATTCTGCACATGCAGCCAAGCAAACTACAGGGGATTTAAATCGCATTGCTCCGGGAAAAAGAAGAGAAGCAGGAAGAAAATTAATGTGGCGATTCTCTCCTTAACAATAAATAATTTTGGATTGCAGAATGAGCAAGGAAAGACCTAAGAGGAATATCATTCAGAAAAAATACGTAAGTATCGATCGTTTGCATGCGGCTGACCTTAAGTTTCTTCGACGGTCTCGCGCTTGTGTCGATGTTAAATGCGTAAACTTTGATCACGGATGGCTCTTGTTGTGTTTAGTCTGGATCTGGAAGCAAGGCGTAAATGCACCGCACTACGTGCACAACACTTACATATATCTAAAGGATTTCCTCTGTAGTTGCACAGACGTCGATGTCCCTCGCTTTTGCCCTGGTGTCCTCATTGGGAATGTATGTGTTTTGCACGACAGATGTTAGCTTACACAACTCCTCTGTAAACCTGGACGCGTTTTGTTTTGGGTTTGTTAGTAACGTTACCAAACAAACTCCAGCGTTAAAACATCATTGTACTCAGAATGGCTTTGTTTGCGCTTCATTGCTTTCCGTCTCAAAGCCGCGAGGACAACCATATCGCCCGCTTTATTCCGGGATTTGTTTCCCCGAACTGAATTCTGCAAGAAAACTGGGTATAAAAGCAACTATCCCAACTCCCCTGGCGTCTTTGATTTGTTTATCTCGGATGTAACTCGTTCTCCTTCAAGTGTAAGCAATGGGGCTCTTTAATGTTTTCAAACTGGGTAAGGAAAGCATTTCCTCTGCCCTTGACGACTGAGAAGACAACACATTGGTGGCAGATGTAAAGTTAATTTATTTAAGATTCAGAGTGAATAGAGTCAATAGTCTTCAGTCTTTACAATTTAAGCCGAATGCTCGACTCGAAAACACTAGTTTGTACAACAGCCAGCATCGTGGGTATTACTGTGCCTGAAACTCGGGTTTGCTCGCTTTTTTCTCGGAGAGTTTCTGCACGTTTTATTGTTAAAGCTGATTAAATAATATTACACACCTGTAATCTTACACAACTGATTAGATTGAGCGCATGGGATGTCGTTTATAGTGGAATATATCCAGTCGCATTGCAGAGGTTCGCGTTTAAAGCAAAGCGACCATTTTACCGTCTCTCCAGAAGCCTGCGATGGGTTAGGGAACCGGCGAACTTGTCGTGGTATAATTGGAGAACTGGGGACTACATAGGGCTTGAACTTTCTGGCTGGTGACTTACTCTCCTCAGGAGCGGAATTAGGCAAGACTACCATAACAAAAGCCCGAGTCTCCTCAGAGACAGCCGAGCAAACCTCGTTAACCCTCGAGGAACTGCCCAGACTCTTAACCCCAGTTTTCCAGACGCTTTACCTGTAGTTGAGGAGGAGTTTCTTGTGTCGTAGTTTGCGAGACTGTTGTTACATCCTTCGTTGCTCATGTCTTTACGTTATTTTCCTCTCAAACCAAGCCAGTACCGAGAAATAAATTCCCGCCGGCGCGTGAAAGGGTTAGCTCGTGCGACCAATTTTGTTTGTCACGTGACCTCGTGTTTAACTACCCCCGCCGCTACCAGGGAATTATCTTTCCGCTTTAAATGCATGTCTTACTGGTATTTTTAGGCCATCAGCAACAGGTTAAAAGGAGTGAAACAGATATTGCGAGGGTTTAGGTTATGATGACGCACCACGGGGGCAGTTTCCAAGCACTTTATCGGCAATGCTCATGCCATCTTATCGCTTTCCATAAAGGTGATGGGAATTGTCTATCGTTGCGTGCTTTTGTTCAACTGAAGCTGTCTCATATTGTTAAGGCAGCCCACAAAGTGTGCCGCAATTACTTTTGTTCATTGACAAGGGAAATGAAAGTGTTGACAAAAGTAGTCTATCACACCACGTGGTGACTTTAGAAGAATGATTCAGTTAAAACCATTGTACTACTATAGGTTTAAAACGCTTTCCTAAAATAACTGGTCAAAAGGTTGTCAGGATAAGCTTTGGATGCATCAGAGCAAAGCACAGTATCATACATTGGTTCTCTGGTTTATCACCAATATTATTTGTTTTGAATAATAAGAAAAGAAAATGTAGGCTATATACAGGACTATATACAGGCTCAATGCCATTGAGACCTAGAAATGTCTTGGGGGGTGAATAAAATATTAAGTAATACAAATTATTTCTGCTTGTGCTCCGTTCAATGTTTATGAATTGTTCTATAGTTTGAGATAATTTTAAACCTTATCTATATAATTAATAGTGATTTGTAGTAAATGTAAATTCATCAAAAAGTATATGAACACTGTATATGTATTTAGGTATTTTTCCCCCTTTTTTAAATGTGGTTAGGTAATAGAATAACATTTGATCTATTTAGTGTACATTTGATCTGTGTATGGTTACATGTCTGACAGGGATCTGCTGCATCTCGTACTGACCACATGTCAGTATGGTCAGGGTCATGATCATCTGTGTAATTCGTGTGGAATGGACCTAAACCGTTCAGAACAGGGCTGTTCATGTCACATCTGTGCAGTGCTGCCAGCTGCGCAAAAATCTGGTCAGGCAAACAACAAAAACAACCTGAAGGATCTGTCCCCGGGGGCCTGCACAACTCTTGGCCCCTTGGATTCAGCCTCCCCTTAATTAGCGCAAGACAATTATACATGCTTGGCTTAACCATATCCCCTGGAACATGAGTGCAAGGGATTTTTTTTTACTACTCCATTTTCCTTCAAATATGCTGTGAAAATTATTAAAATTCATTTAGTGGAAAACGAGAGCAAAAATATGATAATAGATGTTAATAAGAGCAAACAAGGAAATGCAATTAGACCGTCCCTGATTGATAGACGTGTGTGAAAAGCAGAAGGGGGGTAAGTAGGCACTTCTGCTTTCAGACGAGCTCCTTTAATGGCTTCTCTCAACAAGGCTGTCCTGACACTCTCTGAAGCAACTTCTCTGTATAATTATTTTTGAGGGCTGTTTTTAGAGCGAAGAGTTACGCTGGTTTTGATTTCAAACTTTGGCTAATGAATGCAACCGGAGCTCGCATTTGTGTTCTTGTTCTGTTGAAGTGAACATGGCACATGGTGCGAGGGGAATGGGGGGTTACCCATGGCTATTCTCTCCCTCTCCCTCTCCCACTGGTTTTGATTTCAAACTTTGGCTAATGAATGCAACCGGAGCTCGCATTTGTGTTCTTGTTCTGTTGAAGTGAACATGGCAAATGGTGCGAGGGGAATGGGGGGTTACCCATGGCTATTCTCTCCCTCTCCCTCTCCCTCTCTCTCTCTCTCTCTCTCTCTGCCTCTCTTTCTCTCTCTCTCTCTTTCTCTGCCTCTGCAGGCCCAGCTGGGGTCGGGCCCTGATTCATAGACGTGTGGTGAGATAGGCACAGCTGCTGTAGGGGCCTTTACAAATGTAAAGAAGCTGTCAGTGTTTGTTTCATCAGGCGTACAACTGATGAGTGCCAAGTTGAAAAATCCACTGCAGTGTGTGGCGCACAAAAAAGCTGGAAACAAAAACAGAGAGCAGGGCCAAGGCTCACCGAGCCCTCCCTTTGACCCCTTTCCCCGCTCCGAGTCCTCCAGCTTTGCAATGGAAATGTGGGCACCTCTTCCAATGGAGAGGAGAAAGCTGCGAGGCTCTGCGTGTGTGCGTGTGAGAGATTGTATGTTTGTGTTTCAGCGCCTGCCGCTAGCGCCACTGCGCTTCATTTAACCCTGTGTTTTAATGCAAATGGATCCCCCCCCCCATGTGACATGGCAAAATTCATGGATCATACCACAGGAGGCCAGCTGTTATAAAAGGGCCGAGTTAATTGTGTGAGTTTGTTAGTAAAGGGTCACGAACTAGTCTGTTCTAGATTCAACACACTTAATATCCTAAAATGATCTGTGGATTGGATATACTTGGAGTAAATTTTACAGAATCTGAATATAGAGAGTTTGCGTAATTGATTCCTTTATTTTCTTGTTTAATACTGTGATCTGTATTGTATGAAGCACTATAAAGTTGACTTGACTGACTTCATCATAGAAACAGTAGATAAGAATAATATAAATGCTGCTATAATGAAAACATGCCTTTTTATTTCTGATAGATATAATAAGCACGCAAGTGATTTATTTAAACAAGTTAGTTGCAAAGGATATCAGAAACTTCAGATGAAAGCAATAATGTATTTGATTGATACTACTTTTTTTCAATCGTAATTGTAATTATAATGCACATTAATGCGCATTTATTTGCGTAAATGTGTATGTGCAGGTCTTTCAGGGTCACATTTTGTTCACATTGTTGACAGATGTGGGTCGTTTACAAACTGGATTTTAGCAGCGACTGTGCAAATCTCTTGATGTAAAATGCCAGGACACTTCGGCAAAGCTGGCATGAGTGGCCGCTTATTAATTTATTAGAATTTTCACAAGGAAATTTTTTCAAAGCAGCTTGCCATAGTCCTCTGCCAAGATATGATGCTTCACCTCACGGCACCATTTACGAGAATCTGGCCTGGTGCAGTAACGGATAAGTGTTGCCATTCTCCTTCATGGCTGTTGTGTCTCTGGCTAGGTGCATTATGCAATGTGATCTTTTGCTTATCGACCTTTACAGTCATATGTGATCCAGCCTTCACAAGTGCTGAGCTCCTTGGTCAATGTGTGACTACACAGGATGCACGCCCACATCAGCAAACATGGGCGGTTACATATGCGGATGTGCCCACGTAATGCAAGGAATTTGCTCTGCTGACATAAAAGCAGGTGCAGCAGTGCTTTGATAAGTGGTAAGTGTTGTGCTCAGAAAGAATGTTTTTCATTCCTCTGTCCTGTACTTTGTATTATGATGAGATAAGAGGGCAGAGTATCAGATGGATTCTCTCTCGTGCAATGTGGTGAGTGAGTTGTGGTGGGTGATGTAAATCATGCACTGGACAGGGCTTAGACATTGATGGAAGGCTGTATCAGCAACACAACTCTTAACGACCACATAAATGTGGCTTTTGGTCTACATCTCCTGAATTGCAGTATTGTTTTGGGTCAAAAATGTGAAGTGTTGGTCTACTTCTGGATCTTGGCTTAAAGGGATGGTTCACCCAAAAATGAAAATTAGCCCATTATTTACTCACCCTCAAGCCATCTTAGGCGTATATGACTTCCTTCTTTC